CGTGACTTCGACATTAACCTTGGACAAACAACTGTCATATGATGCTCTTACATGGGATACATGGTTTGAGAATGTTATATAATGACTGCGTTGTTCCTCAAATGTTCTCTAACTAACGGTTCCCGAGAACATGACATGGAGACAGAGCATATAGTGAGGTGCAGTGGGGATTCTTTCATTCTAGCAATGGTCGCCAGTGGTGATGCGTAATCCCCGTTCTGACCTTGTGCATGCGACAGCGGCAGACAAAGTTAAGATCTGTCAGCATTCTGCGATTTAGGCAACGTTTTCACAATTGAAGGCTCTGAAAGATAAGATCTCGCAAGTTGAACAACTTCACCCACCAACACGATTTCGAGTTTTGTTTTCGTACTACGTCCACTACTGTAGAAGGAGAAGTGTGGTGCACTATTCACATCGGCAACTAATGAGTTTAGTGGAATCAACTTCACATAGGTTTGGGAGATAGCATTTTCCTGGTGAAAGAAAAGGGTGTGATTAAATACAAACGATTAGACAACACGGAAGTTACCCATACGACATCCTCTTCTCTCTTTTCCTTTTTCTCTAGCCTCAGTTCCTACGGTCGACGGATTACTGCTCTTGCTTAATCCCTTCACCATATCCTATTCAAGCACCGTGGCGCAGCTTTGATTCCAGTTCGTGGCAGTTGGGGACCTTGTAAAGCGGTGGTCGAATCTACCCGTTGTTGGGAGGGGCCGTGATTGTCTTCTGACCTTCTGAAAGAGGTGATGATTTCCCGTAGATCTTCCTGTTTCCATCCGGACCGTCCGCTCGACAGCAAAATTTCTTGAAAAAAAGTAGGTAAACTTTCTTCGACTTCGGGAAGAAGTGGGAAGAAGTTCGGGAAGATCTAAGAAATGGCAGGTAGAGGTGGGGAGGGGGGTCGTACTTTCCTAGCAGTTTTTCCCGACCACCAAAACGGGGAGGTCGTACGGAGTCGACCAAAAACCCTAATTAGTGGCGCGCCCTGCTAATTATCTCCTCCTGCGGACACCCTTGCATTTTCCCTCAGAATTCGTCACTATCGGTTTGCGCTCGGCTCCAACAATAAAGCTTCGGTAGATTGAACTCGCTTCGAGTACTTCTTGCACTGCACAGCACTTGCTCCACTTCACTAATTGCTACTTGCTACCATCTAGGAATAAGACCCTCACTCGTGTCTTCAGGCACGGTACATTGCAAAAATACTACTTGGCTTCATTTAATTTATTAGTGCTCTTGTGCCCCTCGCTGTGTTCTGTTTTTGGATGCTAGCATCAGCAGGCAGGTCTTTTTCCCGAAAGAAAAAGCTCCTTAGCTCATTGGAAGACATATTCTGCGTACACACAGTTCCGAGATCAGAAGCTCGGTCATTTTTGCGTTGGGTCAAGAATCATCTTTCGCCAGTGGTATCTCCCATTTTGATGTCTCGCTTTGGAACTATGCCTTTTTTTCTGCTAAGATAATGTCGTCAGCGCACAATACCAGGAAATGCTTTCTTTTCTGAGCAGTCCGGATCAAGAGCGGGAGGAGAACATATCTCCTAAAAAGCAAAACTGTGATATCTCCTTCCTTTGAGGTGTGTTTCTAGTAAGAGCTCTTGATCGCAGTAGTCTTCATGAAAACCATTGAAAATCTTCTGGAATTCGTAGAACCAACGTTTTTAAGATTATGTTCTCATCCCTATCTCGTGATAACCACGAAGATA